AATTGCACCCTCGATCCTTATGGTCTCACAAAGAAAGCTAACACAAGGGACTCACAATGACACAATGATATTTCACCCGGATACGTTATTAGCAGAGCAGAACAGGGACAAGAGAAGCAGCATACACGTACATTCTACCGAAGAATGTACTTCATCTATATATCTGGCAACAAAGCTCACCGAGAAGCACTTCTACGCGGGCACCAAAATTTGCTTTTCATAAAAATAAAAAAATAACACTTACAACATTCAATGGATCGACACGAGCATAACAAGACCAGATCATATTGATGGAGTTGGACGTAATAAGAAAAGTATCAACAAACAACTTCTCTATATAATTCATCTATACAGAGCTGAAGGAATGACTGATACCCTCCCAAGCCGTATAAAGGCGAGCAGCCCTTATAGCAATAGCAAATGGCCTACTTATAGCTCTCATTTTTCCCTGGAAAATACAGCTTTTTCAGGTGTCTCAGAGCGCAATGAACACAGGTTTCTAGAAATGATGCAAAATTGCAATTGCAACAAGTGAATAGCTCAAACCTGATCATCTAAAAGGAAAAGGAAGACACAAAAACAGTAAAAAATGAACACCGTTACTATATCTCTCTTTCTGCAGAATGCATTGCACTGCATCTTGTCGTGTCCTTGGCCAGTGCTTTGTGCCGAAGCCTACCAGATCACGATTTACAACAATCTGAGACTTGCGTGATTCCAGAATGCAGCTCATATGAAATATCAGAATCAGTTTAGATCATCAAGCTTGAAAATCAATAAATATACATATGTAGATTAATTCAACACTATGTCGTTGAAAGCAGAAACTTGTCCAGTACCCATGACATAAGTCTGCATGGCGGAAGTTAGCAATATCGTGAATAAGGAAATACACGGCTCTGTGGTATTCAATAATAGGATACCACGCCGTGCCTATGCCTTCGTGCTAAGTGTAAAAATTACTGGTAAACGGGTTCACTGCAGTCCCTAGCAGTAACGTATAGGAACGACATGTGTAAGACCGATCTGCAGATGCCAATCATCCTATGCAAATTAATAAAGATGCGCACGTCCATTATTTCCATCAACAAAAGCATGTGGTGATCTGAAGCTAATACACGCTGTTAGAAAAACAAACATTTTTAGAATATTTAACCAACAACTGAATTCATTTCTAGAGAAATATAAATTGTTATAAATATCCAACCTCTTAAAATACTAAGCAAAAAGCTATAGATGCCACCACTGACTGCATACACATCAATTGTTATCTAACCCTTTTATTCAACTCTTCCTTGATACACACTCAATAACGGAGGTACCACTTCTATGAATCTGGCCATGAACCATTCCAAGAAGAACTTCTCCGACAGCACCAACACAGAAAGCAAACTCACATTTTCAATCTGCATCTGCCCTTTCAGCAACAAAACTTTAACAACTGAACACCATTGCCAATCATTACATACGCCCAAGCCATCCCATCTTTTTCACTAAAAAGTCCAGTGCTAGCATTATCTTCTTTTCCCAGAGTCATACAGCGTGGGTGCCGCCTGAGAGCAGAGAGAACATCATCCTCAGACCAACCCCACCTCTTATAAACTTGGCGATTTCGATTACATATGGACCTATTGTTACCACACAATGCTCTTATTGTCTCTACCGACATTGATTTCAGCAGATTAAAACCGATTTGCTTAATCTCATCCACAAGTTGACCAAGATCTTTAGGCTTTAGCATAAAAACGCCGGGACTCTGAAGCATCAACAGAGAAATGCATGATTGGGGCATACCTGATTCTCTTAAACCTCAATATTGGTTCTGAGCGACTCCCGACAAGCTTCGAGATCTGGCTTACAGAGAATGAATCCATGGTTTCTGATAAAGTACAAAAAGGAGTCTGCTCTCTCTGGGGACCTCAGCTTGACCCTCTTCGAGGCTGAAATCACACCTTCTCGGGACAGCGCGCGTGAGTTTATGAGGCAATTGACTGTGAAATCGTGGTTGGTTTTTGAGATTTCTGACTTTAAATATTTGCTGGCATTTTCGTCTTCATAATCTGCTACTCTGCAGATATTTCACCTCAGAAATCTTAGAAACCAACCACCATTTCACAGTCAATTACCTCATAAACTCAAGTACGCTGTCCCGAGAAGGTGCGATTTCAGCCTCCAAGAGGATCAAGCTGAGCACCTGCGGTCCTTGAAGCGCATCATTGTGGTTATAATTCCAACCATATTTGTTGCGAATAGACTTAAATACCCTCACAACAAAATAGAGTGCAATTGCCTATTCAAACGCAGAAGTTGCAAGGATTCAAATTTACACTTTTTTTCCTTCATTTGTTTTCCCGATCATTTTTCTTCAATTGCTCTTCATTTATTTTTGTACCAAACTACCCATTAATTTGGTTGATCAATTAAATTACGCGAAATTTAATTCACTGATTGGTGCTAAAATGACTGAAAAGTACATTCTTGAATTTTTGGTTGATTCTTTATTTGAGTAAATTATGTTTTACCTTTTAAGTTTGTGGTCAATTTCAATTTCTTATAACATTTTTAAATCATTTCAATTTCATATATTTACTTATCATTTTATTTCAATTTCATACATCCGTTAAAAAATCTGTTCAAGTAACAGTTAAGTGATGACGTGGCAAATATAGAATTCCTATTTGTACTGACATGACTGCCACGTTTATGCCACGTAGCTAAATACTTAATAAAATATTTAAAATATTAAAATAATAATAAAATAAAATAAAATAAACAAAAACCCAGAAATCCACTTCCCCTTTCATCTTCCCCACCCAACAGACGGTCCAACCCAAACCCGCCGCCGCCGTCCAGCCAGATCGCCATGGCCTGCAGCAATATCTCCCTTCTCACCTTCGTTCTTCACCTTCTCAACGACGAAAGGATGAAGAACTTCCATCGCCATCGGATTTGATAGGAAGATGAACAGCCACACAAATTCAAATCACCAAATACAAATCAAGTCGAACCAAAATTCGATCAATCCATCATCCCCAAATGGCTGGATTAGATGAACTTAGATAAAGCTCACTCCTTTATCGATGCCCAAAAGGGCTTCTACGCCGGCGGCTCTTCCTTGGAGCTCGACTCTTGCGATTCCTGCACAGTAAGCACTTTTGGCTTTTTTTTTTTTTTTTTTTTTTTTTTTTTTTTCTTTTTTATATGCAATCCGAATAATCAATTTTTGAATTTTGGGTTTCTGGAAATTGTGGAAATTTGATTTCTGGGTTTCGGGTTGAAGCTATCGGACGGTGGAACGGTGAACTTGCTAGGCAGATCGTTCGTGTGAGAAGGTGAAGAAAGAAGGTGAGAAGGGATAGATTGCTGCAAGCCATGGCGACCCGGCTGGATGGCAGCAGCGGGCTTGGGCTGGGCCTTCTAGGCCCGGGAATGGTGGCAGGAGGTGAGGTAGAGAGAGGAGGAAGAGGGTGATTAGAGAGAGTGTGTGTGTAGGGGTGGTTCGGGATACCATACCGAAACTAATATCCCGAATCTCAAACCAAAATTTTTCGGGACGGGAATTTGAAGATCAATCCCAAACTAAATTTTCGGAAATCCCAAATTTCGAGAATCCCGAAATATTTTCGGGATTTTGGGACAAATCGGGAATCCCAAATTGAAATATGAAATTATGAATTGTTCTTCAAATATATAATTCAAGAACACATTCATGAACTAGGAATTTCATTTCATTCACACTACCATTTAATTGAACACTGACATGCCTGACTGTTTTTATCATAGTTAAAATTCAAATTAATTAAACCCTTTTTGCAATCTGTTGAGAGACAAAAGAATCAAGCCTTCTGAAATGATCAGCCATGCCAGCAGCAGTAATAAAATCCACATGAATATCAAATAGAACAAGAAAAATATGCAAGGTGTAGGGCATTCCAGGTTGCAGAGCATGAATTAGAAACTACTAGCATCAATTATAAAAGAATAATATATATATATGTATAAATATATATATATAATAATTAATATTATATATTTTCGGTTCGGTATGAAATTCCCGAAATATCGAGAAGCCAATCCCGAATCCCATACCGAAATTTTGGGATCGATTTGGGATAGCATCCCGAAAATTTCGGGAATTTCGGTTTGGGAAATTTTTGGTTTGGGATCGGGATTTTTTCGGTTCGGTTCGGGATTTTCGGGAATTTTTTCCACCCCTATGTGTGTGTGTCTTTGCGGTGGGGAAGATGAAGTGGGAAGGGGATTTCTGGGTTCTTTTTTTTATTTTTTAGCATAAATGAGGATCTCACATTTGCCATGTCATCACTTAATGGATAACTTAACAGATTTTCTAACGGATGTATGAAATTAAAAAAAAAATGATAAGTAAATGTATGAAATTGAAATGTTTTAAAGATATTGTAAGGAATTGAAATTGATCCCAAGCTTGAGGAGATAAAATGTAATTTACCCTCTTTATTTTGGATTCAATATTTTACAACTTGTGTCCAACAATCAATTCAAAAAGGGCAGTTCGGTCTTCACGCCTTTGCCATTTGATCTCCCTTCAGTCTTCAAGTGGAAGTGACAACACTTACGCGATCATCAATCACCTTTTTAACTTTGCAAGATACTAATGCGATCACGCATAATGTATGAATGAAATGATTTTTTAAATCAATCAATTACAAAAATCATAAGGCACATCCATAAGTGTAAGAAAAACCAATGATCAAAAACTAAATTTTTCTCAAAGTGTAGGAAAAACCAATGATCATAAATGATTTCTGCTTAAGTGTAGGAAAAACCAATGATCAAAAACTAAATTTTTCTCTAAAAACAAACGGCTACAAAACTGGTTTTTCTTCTCTTAAAATACTTTGGAAAATGCTCTCTGCTCACGAGCTGCTCTAAGCTATTATATACATCGGATTCAAAACTAACACATCCTTATCAACGTATTCCGCAGCTAGATGAAAGAACTGGTAATCATCGAAGACATGTTCACAAAACACAACAGATTTAGAAGTCAAAATGGTTATAAGTAGCAATGCACTTGGAGTCCGGACTCCGGGTCATACAAGTGGCACGCCTGAGGCTAGTTCATCTCTCTGCTAATCTAAACTACTCTTGCATTGCAGTCCCTATCTTCCTATGGATATGGAATTCCAAGGAAATATATAATTCAAATATGCATCAGATTTAACACAAGTCAACTAAAGGGTGTGGCCCAAAACCTGTTTTTCCTTCCTCCGGTAACTTTATTTCAGGCATGGAAACACAATTTCGCCATTCAAACTATGGACGACTCAATGTTTAGTTTGATGAACTATCTCTAGCTTTAGAAGTCCTATTCCAACCAGTAATCCAGAAAATAAACACGAACTTTTAACGGAACTGCCCGCCATCTACTTTCTTCTACTTGGTTTTAATGGTGTTTGTAAGGCAAAATCTCTTGCTCTCTTCCTCGTTCACTTTCCTGCAGCACCTTGGCCAGCCTATATGTAGATTGTGACAGCACCAGACAGATGGGGAATCACTTCAAAGCCAACTAGTGAAGCCAATCACAAGTATTATTTGTAGTCTTATTCATAATTTGAATCATTATCTCAAATCCAAACTCCTCCACTCTGCATTACAACTCTAACAAATCAGTATAACACATCTTGTCAAAGCTTCATTTTTGTTTTTGAATAAGCAAGCATTACATAAACTGAACGCTAACAAGGCTAACACAAAGATAATGACTGTGATAGTTTACGCAGCCACTGCCCGCTGAAACCAAGGCTGGCTAGCTGTTCGTGGAAGAAAATTACTAGGTTAGCAGAGCTAAACAGCTAAAGCAGCTATGCAGCAGAATGCAAACACAAAACAAACAAGTATTCATTTTTCTTTGGCCAAGACTAACAGCTGAATTTATTTCTACAGAAATATGAAGAGTGGTGGCATAAGTAAAACAGTAGTTAACGAACGAACTTACAACACTGGGCCAAAAGCTAGCTGCTACCAATGACAATGACCAGTACTGCAGCTCCTACCAACATCATACATCCTGGATTTCCACTTTTCCTTCATACACGCTTAACAATTGAGGTACTTCATCTATATATCTGAACACAAACTTATCCAAAAAACACTCCTCCGCAGGTGCCAACAACGAACTCAAACCCACATTTTCAATTTCCTTTATCAATCCTTTCAACACCAAAACTTTCACGACCAAACACCTTGGTATAATTCTACTCTCCATACTGAGACCCATGACAGTCGGGTATTTGACAATTGATCTCTGCGGCCATCCCATCTTGTTCACTAAAAAATCCATTACTGACGCTATTTTTGTCTCCGACTTATTCATACAGAACGGGTACCGTCTGAAAGCAAAGAGAACATCATCCTCAGACCAACCCCACCTCTTATAAACTTCGCAATTTCGATTCCATACCGAGTTACTATCGTTAAAGCGCACTAATAATACACACATTGCATGCACAGAAGTTGATGTTTGCATATTAAAACCCATTTGCTCAATCCTATCCACAACCTCAACAAGCAGTTTAGGCTTCAGTGCAAAAGCAGTGGGTTGACGAGCAAGCAACAGAGAAATGCAGGGTAGAGGCATACCTGATTCTCTCAACATCTCAAGATTTGGCACCAAATTCTTGGAATAGATAAACCATGAGCCCCGTCTCAAAACCGAAACGGCATTTTTCTCAGAAATCATACTCCTAAGGAATTTATAAGTGGGTACAATCTGTTTCTCCAAGCTCACACTCAAAATCCGTGGATAATTTGCCAGAAGTTTTCCAAGGCCCTCCCTTGAAACTCCATTTGACCTGAAAAACTCAAGCTTTGGCAAAAGGGTTTTCTCCGGATTGGAGTTAAGAAGTTGTGTGCATGACCTGACGATCTTCGAGATCTGGATTTCGGAGAATCCATGGGTTCTGAGGAAGGACAAGACGGAGTCTGCTCTTTCTGGGGATTGCAACTCGAACCACTTGGATGCTGATATCGCACCTTTTGGGGACAACCCACATGAGTTTATGAGGTAATTGATTGTGAAATTGGGTTGGATTTCTGAGATTTCCGAGCTCAAGTGTCTGCGGAGTATCGGATGTTGAACAAAGAATGTGATTCTGGGAGCAGCAACTATGCTGGAAGATTGCGAATAGCATAATCTGAGTGTTCGCAGCATACTAGCGTGTTAGCAGAGTGGAAGCAACTGAGCCGATGACGATCAAATTCTATCGGGAAATCCCCAAAACCCTACCGGCTAATACTTCCCTTTTTTTCAACAATCAGTGTATATTGGGAGTTCTCACTTGTTACTATGATTTAATAGTTTTATATTCGTTTATATATAATAGATCTTAAGTTTCATTTTCATTAAAAACAAATTTAAACTACATTATTCCTCTTTTGAGCAATGTGAGGTCTTTGTTTATATGAGTTTTCATATTAATTTGATGATAGATTACGGAACATGTATTCAATTCGGAGTTTAAGAGAATTTAATGGATTTATAAATTCATGGATTTCTTGGGAGTTCAATTGATTTTTTTGAGAGATTTTAATTCTTTTAATGAATCTAAGGGTATTCAATTAGGATTTTAAGCGATTATCTAAAATTCAAAGTGTATCCAATCAGAATTTTAAGATAGTTAATTAAAATTCTTAGAAATCCGGATGTATTCAATTAGAATTTTAAAATAGCTTATAACATTTAAGGCGTATTCAATTAGAAATTAATTTTAAAGAAATTGAAAAAGTTCAGGAATTTGAGAGAATTGATGAGATTTTGAACTGTATTTTAAGCAACTTTTTTAAAGTTTTTTTTTTTTTTTTCAAGCCACGTGGAGTTGTTCTGAGAAAGTCAAAGGTTTGGTTTGGCGATTCACATTTGGAACCCTAGAGGTGTGACGGCGGCAAGGTGCATAGGAGTTTCGAGAGGTTCACGATCAGGGGCATTTGTAAAGGGTTCTGATAGTGCACAAAAGGGCTACGGTTTGCACAAAAGGGCTAGGGTTTGCTTCAAAGGAGATTCCCTAGTGGTAATTATGTGCGTGGGGGGGGGGCGAGTTTAGGAGGGAAGGACGTTTGCAACGTCATGGTCCTGTTGCTGGCATGGCGTTGGATCGCGGAAGGTAAGAGGTAAAGCAGTTAGGATCCCGGTTTGGGGCTAACCTTCATTTGACTGATAAGGAATAGAATGGAATTGCAATTGATAAGAAGGCTACTGATGGAGTGTTGTTAGGGTTTCAGTATACCATGGTTACAAAGGTTCTGATGTCTAAGGATGTGCATGGTGAAGCCTTCATAGATTGTTTCACGTCGCTTTGGCACAAAAGAGAAGGTGTCTCTATCTGTGATAAAGGTGACCGTAGATTTTTTACGAGGTTTGTTGGGCAACATGATTTGGAAAAAGTGGTGGATGCGGATTAGCTTTCGACCTTTAAGAATGACCTAGTGATGGTGGCTGATAGAACGGGAAATGGTCTTAATCGTTGGACTGCATTCTCTTGGGGTTTTTTGGGTGCAAATTCACAATGTTCCCCCATTGAGTATGACTGTGGTGGTAGCGGAAGGTGGGTATTGTCCATAAGGTGGATACGTCGGTCAGTTGTGATTGCATTGGTCGATTCCTTCGTGTGAAAATTTGATTTAATGTACGTGAACATCTCATGCGTGGGATGTTTGTGCATTTTTCGGATGATGGAAGGATTTGGGTAGATTTGAAGTATGAACCATCGCGATATTGCCTTATTTGTGGCTTTATGGGGCATACAACGAGAGCTTGTCGGGATAATCTGGAGGATGATAGAGAGGCTGGGATGGATTCGGTGGTTCTGGATGAGACTTTTGAGTATCAGGCTTGGATGCAGAGGTGAACCTTCATGGTAACTCATTAAGATTCAGTTTTCGAGGCGGTGGATCAGGTGTTTCAAATAGGGGGCAAGTTAGTTTGGCATGGATGAGGATAGTACGAAGTACTGATTGGGGTGGATCGAAAATGAATAGCGGGTCTTCCATAGTATCACGGACTCCAGCTACTTCTGGGGATAGTAGGGTCCAACCTGGAGTTGTAAGTAGTAGGCGGATGGATGACAGAGTGGTTAACACGGGACGATCCTTAAGCAAGGTTGGAGGTGCTATGCACCATCATGCGCCAAAGGGTATTAACCTTGCTACAAAAATTCGTCGTCAACGAGTGAATGAGGAGGAAGCAAAGAGAGGTCGAGAAAAGGCTTATGATGCAAGATTAATCGGTTCGGGGGGTATGATTTCGGATGAAGCAGTGGATGTGGTCTTTCACAGAATGCTGGAGGAGGATGGATGGATTAACGTTGTATGTGTATCGCAGAAGAACGGGAGGGAGATTGACTTAGATATTGCAACACAAACTGGGAAGGGTGGGAAATGTGACTTGGGAGGCACGGGAATAGACTCGGTAATGCATGCCGAACATGTAAGAGTGACATGAGGTTTTGAGATTTTTGAGGATGATCCTTTTGATCTAGTTCCTATTATTGAGGCAGTGATGAAGAACCAAAAAGGAAGGAAAAGGCCTATTCATGATGTCACATCCCGGCTCGGGCCCCACCACATCACGGGCCCTCTTCGCAACTGTAGAACGATATTGTCTGCTTTGGGCGCCGACCACACCCTCACGGTTTTGTTTATGGGAACTCACACGAGAACTTCCTAGTGGGTCACCCATCATGGGATTGCTCTCGTGCACAACTCGCTTAACTTCGGAGTTCCGATGGAACCTAAAGCCAGTGAGTTCCCAAAAGGCTTCGTGCTAGGTAGAGATGAGAATATACATATAAGGCTTACAGGATCCACTCTCATGGGCGATGTAGGAAGTTACAATCCCCTCTCTTAGGGTCCCGACGTCCTCGTTGGCACACCATAGCCAGGGTTAGGCTTTGATACCAAATTGCCACATCCCGGCCCGAGCCGGCTCCACCACCATAGCACGATATTGTCCGCTTTGGGCCCCGACTACGCCCTCGCAATTTTGTTTCTGGGAACTCACACGATAACTTCCCAGTGGATCACCCATCATGGGATTGCTCTCGCGCGCTACTCGCTTAACTTCAGAATTCCAATGGAACCCGAAGCCAGTGAGCTCCCAAAAGGCCTCGTGCTAGGTAGAGATAGGGAATATACATATAAGGCTTACAAGATCCACTCCCCTAGGCGATGTGGGATGTTACACATGAGGTAGAATATGTGGAACCTGTTGAGTGTTATGAACCTCAAAGGAACCTACCAAAACAATCATTGTTGTCTGAGGCGGAGGAGACCAGCCTTAAGGGATCTCCCAAGTCCCCATGAAGCTAATATGTTGGAACTGTCAGGGTATCGGGCGTGACCTGATAATTAACAACCTGTTGGAGCAGAATAAGCTCCATACCCCCGACATAGTGATTTTGTTGGAGACTAAAAATAGAAGTAATCGCTATGTTTATTTGAATAGAAAGCTTGGGATGGATTTTATGCATGTTGTTGAACCAAGGGGAATTGCTAGTGGTATGTGCATTTTTTGGAGGAACTATGTTTTACTGGTTAAATATGCAAATTTTTTCATTGAGGTTGGTATATGTGACGGGGAAGTAAATGAGAATTGGAGGTTGTTCGCGATTTACACAAGTACGAATGATAATAAGAGGAAAGACCAATGGTGAATGCTATCTAATCGGATTAAGGCTGCAAGGAACAAATGTTTACTTATTGGGGATTTCAATGATATAGTGTAGGTAACAAACTCCTTGACTTGGGCTTTATGGGGTACCCATTTACTAGGAGGAATCGCAAGGATGAAGGCCCTATACAGCAGCGCTTAGACCATGGGTTGGTGACGAGTGGTTAGGTTGATGTGTATCTCGAGGCAAAAATTATGCATGAAGTCTTAGAGGGGTCTGATCATGCCATGCTTATTTTGGCTACGAAACCTTCGACGTTGATTAGGAAGCGACGGTTTATTTATGATGAACAAGGTGAAAGAGTGTCGTGGGGTTGTGAAACAAAATTAGAGTCGTGGGTTTATAGGCTCGCATGCCTTTGGGGTTGTGGAAAAGTTGAAATGGGTTCGCCGTGGATTGCAAGAATGGAGCAAATCTAATAGGTGGAACTCGAAATCTCGTATTGATGCTTAGAAGAATGATCTAAGGCAAGCTTATAAAACATCGGCATTTGCAAATGATGATGTTCGTCGTAAGGAGGTGGAGCTTAAGTCGATGCTTAAGGAGGAATAGAGGAATTGGAGGATTAAATCATGCACTCAGTGGATTCAGGAATGGGATAAAAATACTAAATTTTTCCATGCTCAAACGGTGAAACGACATTATTGTAATAAAATACTGGGTTTGGAAGATGATCAGGGACTTTGGTGCACCGAACCATCTCAGGTGGATGCGATTGCAGTTGGCTACTTTCAAAACCTTTTCATGTCGTGTAGCTCATGTAGAGTCTTAGAGATTACGGAATGTGTTGAGACTAGGCTTACGGCAGCGGATTAGAGCCAACTTTTGCGACCTATATCGGAAAAGGAGGTGCAGTAAATTGTTTTTCAAATACCAGCTGATAAGTCGCCTGGACCAGATGGCTTTATGGGTAGTTTCTACCATGAATATTGGATATGGTGAAGGCATTTTGGTTCTCTGGGAAACTATTATGGAAATTGAATCATATTCACTTGGTTCTAATTTCGAAAGTGCTTAGTCCGCGAATGATGTCTCAGCTAAGACCAATATCTTTGTGTAATGTGGTCTATAAGGTGATTGCAATGCTTTTGATAACTCGTATGAAGATGGCTATGCCATAGCTTATTAGTGCAAATCAGTCGGCTTTTGTGGCTGGGAGACAGATTCAAGATAATGTTTTGGTGGTGCATGAGATATTACATTTGCTTAATCCACTTTGAGATGGAGATGAGGTTTCGGTGGCAATGAAATTGGATATGGCGAAGGCTTATGTTCGTGTGGAATGGAGTTACTTATTAGCAATGATGGAAGCTATGGGTTTTCCATTTGAGTTTTTCCATCGAATTGCGGAGTGCATTACTACAGTGTCCTACAATGTGTTGGTTAATGGAGCATTTACTGGGTACATTTAGCCACAGAAAGGGTTGAGGTAAGGAGATCCTATGTCCCCATTTCTCTTTCTAATTTGTGCTGAGGGGTTCTCGGCATTGTTACATCCGAAGGAGGAGCCTAGAGTTTTACACGGAGTGCAAGTGACATATGTTGTGTTGCCTCTTTCTCACTTATTCTTTGCAGATGATGAGGTAATTTTCTGTAGGGC